ATTAGGTTCAGTTTGGCATATATAATGAAGTCATTTATATCAACAAAAGATCTGCTTCCATTAATTGCTATAATTGAGATAACTGTAAGATATTAGAAGTCTTGATTTGTAGTGCATTTGAAGATGAATGGCAGATTCACACTTGTTTCAAATCTGTTTCTATTGACTCAGATTACCCAGGACACTATTAGTGTGGATTGTTATGGTTACTACTGCTCTTCCTCAGGAGTCTTTACTGTTACTTTAATAGCAGGCAAAAATCAAATGGGCAGAATGTTCTATTGGTGAGTAATTTAATACGGTAAAGCATACTGCAGGATATTGCAGGCATCAAAATGGAGCAGACAGCCATGGGCAACGGGTGCCTCCTAAGTCAGGGGGGCACTTGCCCCACCAGTGACCAGTTAGCAACTGGGGGAGAGGGGGAGAGCGGCTGATTTGCATGGACCTGGAAGTGTCACACCAACCCAGAAGTGCCAGCGGCACGACACAGCACAGTGCATCTGGGTCAGTATGATCAGCTGCAGGCAGACCATGGGGATTGCTTCTCCTGGTGCCCCCACTCCCTGGCCAGCACACTTAGGGGGGACACCAGCACTCTCACCTGCCCATCACCTAAGCAGGGAATGCTGGCTGTCAGGGGTTGCAACGGTGCTCTTGGGGGTGCACCTGCATGCCCTACATACATGTCACCACTGCCAACAGCAGTATACACTAGTGCTCATGGCTACCCTGATGGGGAACACCTAATAGACAGGTATAAAACATATACTATATAAGCCATGATATACTGCTACCTATAGTTTGAATGTACTGTCTTAATGAAAAGAAAAGGTTGACTTCATTGTCTTTATTTTATGCTAATAACTGTGTCCACCTGCTCCTTTTAAGTCAGTGACATAGCACTCAAAAACCCCCCAAAGTTGGGACAGCAGTGGCATGTAATAATACAGCATGTTGGGGGGTTCATATATCATATGTAGAAATAAGCAGTCAGCTTCCACTGATTTCTTAGAACAGTGGTCATCAACCAGCAGATCTCGATCTTGGAACCTCTTGTGGTAGATCTTGGAGCCTCTCAGAGTCGATCTGAGGCTGGGGTGGGGGGTTCAGTACCTGCATGCATGCACAGGTGCACCCCAGCCCAGCAGGTCAGTCTGTGGGGAAGGGGAGGGAAGGGGGCTAGATCAATGTCCCTCACCACAGGGGCAATGCTGCAAAGGCAGAAGCAGGGTAAGTTGAGTGGGGCCCTGGCCTGGTGGGACTTGCCTGCTGGGGAGGCATGCCCTCATATAATTTCTCCTCCCTCTGCCTTGATCTGCTCCCCACCTTCCCTTCCCACAGATTTACCTGCTGGGGGGGGGGGGGGGGGGGGGGGGG